GACAAAGTAGGCTTGTTTGGCAGCATGATGGGAGGAATTGTATGTTGAGAAAGCAGATTTATATAGGGTGAATACTTGCTGGGATTTGGTTTTACGCCACGATTGCTCCAGCGCACGGCTATGTAATTTAAGATTTCTAGTGTCGTCAGTCTGCCAAGGTTGTAATGGTCGGGGCCTGATGCTTCGTGTTGTTAGAGGAGCAAGTGAGTCTAATGCGGATGAAAACGAACTGTTGTAGACAGCAGTGGCCAGGTCAGGGCAGGACAGGGGAGAGATTCTGTCATAGAGTTGGTCAGTTGCAGAGTGAAAGGAGCAGGGTTCAAGTTGTGAAGGTTTCTGCGGGTAATTGTTTGCTGCTTGGAGGGACAGGTGTTTGAAGACGAGGACACTGTGAAGGTATTGAGATTGTGATCAGAGAGAGGAAAGGGGGTGTTAGTGAGGTTGTAGGGAGTGCAAAGATGGGAGAAAACAAGGTCTAATGTATTCCCATCAGAGTGAGTGGAGGACTGTATACATTGTGCTAATGCAAAAGATGAGGTTAGGTTGAAGAGCTGGGATGTAGCCGGGTTGTTGACATTAATAGGGATGATCTCCAAGAATGATAGTGGGTAGTTCAGAGGAGAGAAAGTAGGGTAGCCAGGCGGAGAAATCATCAAGAAAGCAGGACACGGGTCCAGGAGGCCGATAGATCACTGCAAACCTCAGAGAAATGGAAGAAAACAGCCAGATGCAGTGAGTCTTGAAAGAAGAGAAGGATAGAGAGGGAGGGTTAGGGAGGACTTGAAAGGTGCTCAGTGGGGATAGAAGCAAACCAACTCCACCAGCTTTCCAACCACTGGGTCTGGGTGAGTGGGTCCAGATGAGGCCTCCATAGGAAAGTGCTGCGGGAGAAGCAGAATATGCTGCTTGGAGCCAGGTTTCTGTAATTGCTAGTAGGTTAAGGGAGCGGGAGGCAAAAAGGTCATGGACAGAAGTGAGCTTATTACAGACAGAGCGGGCATTCCAGAGCGCACATGAAAAAGGGAGGGTGGTTTTTGGGAGCACGGGGACTGATGTTAAATTGAGGGTATTGCGGCTATTCCCGGAAGAAAGAGGATGCCTGGTGTGGGGGTGAAATACTAGAGAACCAGGGTTTGGGGAGATATCCCCAGAGGTTAGGAGAAGAAGGGTGAGGAAAGTAACATGGGAGCGGGATGTACACGAGTGTACATGCCTTCCAGTCCTGGTGTTTGGGTCAGCAGGAGAGTGAAGTATCAGCAGGAGGTGATGAGAGCAGTAGTAGGGAGATGGTAGCAGTGAGGGTGAGATGTACAAGTTTTGGGGTGGAGCAGAGGAGTAAAGAAGTGAGATTTTGGGAATACAGGAAAGTACTATGAAAAGGAGGAGTAGAGGGGACATATTAAAAGGTACAAGGAGTGGGACTCAGACTTGAAGAGATGTTTCCCAGGGTGTTTGCTTGCAGTCCGTCCAGCATGCAGTAAAGTTTCTTGCTGTTGTTGTATCTTCCTGCTGCTTGAGTTATCCTGCTTTAGTTAAACTGCTGTGTTTAACTGCGTCTTAGCACTCCATCAACGCAGCACTCATGCAAATGAAGCACCCCATCTGTGACTGTGCCCCCCATCTGTAATTCCCCCCATGAGCTGATCTAAATTTATAGGGAGATGGTCAAATGAGCACTCTTCTCTGCCCCACATGACTGCGCACCAGTGCACAAAGCAAGGTCCATAAAGACATGGATGAGCGAATCTGGGGTGGAGGAACTTGACTGGACAGCACAGAGTCCTGATCTCAACCCAAGAGAACACCTTTGGGATGAATTAGAGCAGAGACTGACTGCGAGCCAGGCCTTCTCGTCCGACATCAGTGCCTGACCTCACAAATAGCCTCACAAATGCATTCCTGGAAGAATGGTGAAACATTCCCATAGACACACTCCTAAACCTTGTGGACAGCCTTCCCAAAAGAGTTGAAACTGTTATAGCTGCAAAAGGTGGGCCAACTCAATATTGAACCCTACGGACTAAGACTGGGATGCCATTAAAGTTCATGTGCGTGTGAATGCAGGTGTCCCAATACTTTTTGGACATATAGTGTATTATTCCTAGAAAAATAGTGATGTGTTCAATACTTATTTTAGCTGCTATATATATTATTTATCATTGTAAAAGAACATGGTTCACAATCCTTTTTTTTTCAATATCTCCAGAAAAAAAAATGACTTTTGGCCTTCCCATCTCTACTCCAAAGTGAGGGAAATCCTCTCTTAGGGGGGGCCATACACTATTAGTTTTTTGTTGTTCAGCCAGAGGGCTGAATGAAAAAATATTAACAGATATTGTATTCTAACAGTATCCCTCCTTACTGCTGTCAGATATAATGATCTGCAGCTGCAGCCAACATTTTTCCAATGCGACCCTTTGACAGAAGTTGATGAAACAATAGGCTTCTGCCTTCTGCCTATTGTACAGCCACACACTAATTGAATTTCTGGTGAATTTCAATCAGGGGATGGCTAGCTTTAGAAAGTTGTAACTATGACAAGTGTTTCCACTGGCATACCTTCCCTCTGTTCCTGTTCTGGTGACAAATCTAGATTTTGCATTTTGCCTTACTTTCTGTCCCTGTGACAATGGCCACCAAAACAAACAGAGGAGTGAATATCCCCAGTGAGGACACATATAGAAATAAAACTTGAGTTGTTAACCCTTCCACAGTCAACTGAAAACTAAAATGACTTTAGATGTATTAGATTCAGAATTAGAATTTAGAATGGGGTCATAAATGTTACAGAACTCTAGGGTGAATCCTAATGTATTTAACATGTAGCTGTGGAGAAATGAAGGTTAATAACTCATTACCTGCATGAAAAAAGTCATCCATTAGAGTGAGGGGCCACAGTGAAGCAAAAGAGTCAGATCAATCACCGCCAAGCTAGCTGATATTTTGAATGAACTATTACTGCAAGGCAACAGGCAAAAAAAAGAAAAAAAGAAATAGACCTGTAGTATATTTTGAATGAAGCATATACTGTATGTGTTGGGGTGTGCTATAGCTTGGGTCTGTTGGCCCATTTGCTCCTAGGTATAGAGGTGCCTTTCTTCTATGGTAAAACTATTTACCGTTTATTTTATCACAATGCAAGGGCCTGACTGGCCTATGAAACAACACTAATTTAACATTTAAAGTGCCCATCGATGTGCAAATTAGCTACAGAATATGTTATAATTTATATGTACAGTTGCCGACTTTTCTGTCTAATACAGTATGCATCCATCTAAATAATGCTGGGATGAGAATGAAGATGCTGTGTTGATGCACGTTTGTGGCTCTTGAACAACAATTTTCATTGTCCCTTACATGATACCTGTCTTGGGCTGCCTATTCAAAATCAAATGTAGTTATTAGATTATAAATTATAACTGAATACATGTTCAATTTGCCCCATTGTAGCGCTACCTTCTAAGGAGCCACTGGATTTTGGGTCCCCCTATTTACTGCACAGCCAGGCAACACGCACTTTTGGCAAACACACGTAGTCAAGAATCCAGTTCATGGGCTTGTTTTTGTTATTTTATATAGGGGAAAACAACTTGGATAGGGAAAGGGGGTTATTGGATGCCCAACTTGACTAGAAGAACAGATTGAAGACAAACTTTTTGTGTTTATGTACTCACTCTGTCCCTTGTATCCTGAAGTTTTGCATACAACTGCTTGTTCAGGCCTTTTATCTGTGCTAGTCTTTCATGCTGAGCAGAGTTCCTTCTGGCTAGGACTAGTAGTGCAGTTCCCTCTGTCTACCTTCTTCTCCTACGTTCCGATTGAGCTCCAGCCTGGAGGCAGAGCCCCCCTTCCCTGGGGTTCCCTCCCATGCCTGATGATCCTCAACACTCCATCTTCACTCAATCACCCAATTCCCCTAGTAGCCAGGCTCTCTCATATTTATGGGCCTGTCTGCGACACTGTCCGTTGCTACACCATAGTTATTCTATGAATATGGTGTAGCTGCCCTTACAAGACAGAATTGACTCCAACATCTATATACTGTGTTGCGATCATACAACTGAGCACAGAACATATCTGTAAAGACCAAGGATGGGAAATTAATGGGACATGAGAAACTGGGATTGTCTCAAAATTTGGGAACCTTGGATTGAGTATTCCTTTCCCTTGTTGAACCTGGCTAGCATTGGTCGCCTTTGACAATCACTTTGAACGGTCCCAAGCTCCAGTTTTCCCCCGCCCCCTCCTCCTTTTCAGAATTCTCTCTCCTTTCTTTTTTTTCTTTCTCTTACTCTTTGGGTCTCTAACCCCTCACTTTGGATTGTCCTTAAGAAGGGAAAAACAAAATTTTCTCATGTTTTGATTCTTCTTGTGAAGTATCCCTCTGGTCTTTCCACTCATTTGTTTACAAGTTTGATTGTCGGGCTATATTCAGCACCTTGGCATATTTACTGTTCTATGTAGTTTTCAGTGGTAGCCCCTGTGAGGGTGTATTTTGTGCTTGCTTGATTATATGCTGAAAACCTAATAAAAATTATTGAACCAGAGAAACTGGGACTGTTGTGAAGGGCCAAACTTTTTTTTCTCTATTAATTTTAGACCTGGGAAGGTCTGTATGTACGGTATGTAAACATAAAAAACAAAACACCTGGCACTAGGAATAACAGGTACAACTGCTCAAATGAGCAGTCAAGGGGTGGTAAAAACAGATGGCTGAGCTGCAGTTTTGGGATGTTTCCTAAACAACACTCTCCCACCAGAACCAGGCCTCCCTGCTGTACCAATCAGCTCTCTCCTTCCATCCTTCCAGTTCTTGCAGCTCTCCACACGGATATTTGTCAGCGTGCCTCTCTGAGCCTGTCTGTTCCTCATTAAGGAAGCTGACAGGCTCAAAGAGGAATGCTGATAGTGGAGGCATTGAGGGCCGGATAGGGAAAGCCAAAGGGTTGGATGTGGCCCTGGAGCCACAATTTACCTAGGTCTAGTACAGGGGAACATACCTTCAGGACACTGGCAGCTGAAGCCACTGAGGCTGGTCACACATGTAGCTCCATTCCTGCATGGCTGAGGGTAGCAGTGATCCACCATAGATTCACAGAATTCACCTGTGTAACCTAAACAGAGAACACAAACATGAAGAAATTCAATCCATTCAAAAACAGTGTATAATTTCAATCAGCGTTGTTAGTAATGGCTGCTATTAAGGTATGAACAGCATACATACCAGGCAAGCAAGAACAGGTTGCATTTTTCCCATCATGCCTCTGCGGGAGGTCACTGCATGTGGCATTATTCATACAGGGGTGACTGTGGCAGGCATCAAACTCCTCACAGTAGGTGCCAATGTAACCTTCTTCACAATGGCAGGAATAAGTCTCCTTTGAACAGAGAGAGGAATAGAGAGATTTAATATAGAAGGTACTGTATGGAAACATAGGAATTGGAAAAAGGTAGAAGAAGGAAAGCTAAAATAAAGTGCAGTAGCAATATAACATAAATAAGTCAATGGATGGTGTAAACTAGGAGTTCTTTCTTAACAGCCAATGCTAATCATGAACATCACATCAATCCTGCTTTATAGCACATCAGCTCCCGTTATTTCTAGAAAGTATGGGTTTTCTTTAGGATTTAAAAATGAACCTGTAGCTAGGCAATGGACATTCAAATATTCACCTATTCTTATCAAGCAGTAAATTAGCTTTAATAACAAACCCTAACTGACTTGTTTAATTATAGGCACATAAATTCATCCTCAAAGTTTACAGAAGCACTCGAGTCCTTCAAGTCTATCTCTCCTATCCCTCCTGTCAGAGCACCAAAAAAATGGACAAGTACAATTTTGTCCACGCCAGTGCAGCACAGGACATAGCAGTGCATTACTATGTGTTGTGCTGCATTGCAGCTCATATGAAATGGAGGTGCATTGCCCTTGTGCTTTGTGATGCCATTGAAAATGAGTATGCTGTAGTAATGTGTGCATCACAAACTAATCAGTGTGAATGGGCCCTGGAAGATTAGAAGGCTGAAAGGTTGCCAAATGATTTCTGGGATGGAGGATCAAGCTAAGCTGGGCTGCTCAGAGATTTGAAGGATTGGAGACTCAAAGGACTTCAAGTAGAGTTACAGGCAAAACTTGTTTTTTTTCATTTTGGATAGCATAAGGGAGAGTTATAACCCCTGCCAGATTTATTTTTTTTTGCTACTTGTGTTCCATTGGGGTGGGGGGGGGGTTTACCTTCACTTCCTGTCACATAGCTAAAACAGGAAGTGAGAGGAAATCCTTGCAAATTAAGGGAATACCTTGGGGACCCCTGGGTCACCAGAACTAGTGTCTCCATTAGAAGATTTGGATATGCATAGATAACTTTATCGACTCTCTCAACTTGGTGAACCTGAAAAAATCCCCACAATGTATGTTGCTCAACAGTCCAGTGGAGGAGGCCCTGAAACATTTGAGATGGTTGATTGCCTTTATTTTTGTGGCAGCAAAAATTTCCATAGCTAGATCTTGGAGGATGCTTACAGTACCATTTTATCTAGTCAAAACCAAGTTGTCCTGGATCATGGATAATGAGTATCTGTCCGGAATCCTGAATGATAAAGTCAAACTCCCTAAAAAGATATGGGATCCCTCGATAAAATACTTTACAGGAAGCTCCTGAAACTATTTCATGTGGTTCGGTGTTCCTGGACTGAATGGTCGGTCATTATGTATTCCTCTACTTTTATACTCCCTTCTTTTCATTGCTCTCTGTCTTTTATATTTTCTGTTCTAATGCCATGGGATAGCCCCCAGGGGATTAACTCCCATACTTGAATTGCAAGGTCTTGTTTGGTACATCTGCTGTTGGTGAGGATCTTTGGACACAGAGTGGGCAATTGCTGTGCTTAATGGACTTCCCTGCCACTGGCCAAAGATGTACTTGTTTTTGCAGCTAGGATAATTATAATCTAACACATGCCATTTCTCACTCATTGATGATGATGTCGTTGCATTTATATGAGTGGTGCCTCACTCTTTGGCTATTTTTACTATTCGTGTATATTACTGTTACACACATGTGAACATAATATGTGAATGTATGTTATTCCCTTTTCTCTTGTATGTATCTATTGTTTGTGGGAAACCATCGCATTGATTCTATCACGTGGTATTTTGATAACCATATGTACACTTTTCCAAAAATTTCAATAAAAATTAATGGAAAAGAAGATTTCCTCTGTATTACTTTTCTGGGGACAACCCAAAAATTGGGTTTTTTTTACTTTTACTTTCAATGATAATAGTAAACAGGACAGATAAAAAGGGTGAATCTCCCTAACGGGGGCACAGACAGCAATAACAGCCTAATTGGTGTTCTAATCCTTTTCTACTCTGTCCAAAACTAAGGCCTCATGCACGCAGGATGTTTTAAAAATGCTCCTACTCTTGGCAGCAGCGTTTTGGCAGAAAAAATGCCTGACACTTGTCAAAGCGTGTTTACAGGCAACAAGCACTTGGACATTAACTCATTTAATTGACCAGAATATTAATTTATTTTGGCCATTGAAATGAATTAACACTCAAATGCTAAAGGCACCTAGCATTAACATGCATTTAGACGCGTTTGCATGTGTCAAGTGTTTTTTTCTGCCAAAATACTGCTGCTCCTGGAAGCACTAGCCTTGGGTTTTGTTTCCTGCTGGTAAATGCTACTGCTACTAAAAGCTTCTAAAAGTCTATGTGCATGGACACATAAGATAACATGGAGGGCCATTTGGAAGCAGTAAAAAAAAAAAGAAAGACTGACACCCCTAAAAGTGGCTGCAAAAACGCTGTGTGTGTAGGAGACCTAAAAAAAAAGTTTTGCCTTTGGTTATATATTCAGTACTCCAGCTGTAAATTTTTGAGGATGAATTTCTGTGTATACCTCCATGTCTTTTCAAAGACCTTGCATCTCCTCTGTATCCCACAATGTAATAAATGTGTGCCTGAGGGATCAAAAGAGAAGTTTGAAGATTGCAGTTAGTCGAGTGGGCTACCAGAGCTTAGACTTGGAGTTTTAGTTTGGAATTTGCATGCTGATCGCACCTGGGAATGAGGGCCCCTGGGGCACACATTAGAAACTGAGAAGAGATGCAGGTATATACAGCCATAACGTGAAGCCTTCTGTTAGGCAATTATGTCATTTTGCTACACTCCAGTCAAATGTGAACAATTTGCATTTAAAATGACAACAGGGTACAGCTCTGTGCAGACTTTTGGGAAAAGCAATGATCCAAAAACATTAGTGGTTGGGGAAGGGGGAGTCTTGCATACAAATACTGTTGCCATGGTTCTTGACTTTTTTTTCAGTTACAGAAAATTACAGCTAGCTAGACATTGAAATGATAAGGTATTTTTAAAAAACAAATTACATTTACAAAAATGACGTGCTGCAAATGTTTATTATGAAAAAAACACTGGATAAACCAAACGAGCACTATGCATTTATATGACTTATGATATGTGCTTACATTGTAGCACATCTTTTTGTATTAGCTGAATGTTGCCTATGAGGATGATTCATTTAAATAAGCTGCCCTGGAAAACTCAACAACCAAAAAAATGAGTTGGTGATGGAGTCTCACTGCAACCCCCTGGGGGAAGAATAGATAGAATTCTGTAAATTCCGGTTTCCCCAGCATTTCTGTCCTTTGTGCATCTTTTGGCTTTTGGGCTAACCAGGATTCATATACTTTTGTATGACTGAGACTTGCCAGGTATAAAATGTAGAAAGGGGATAGCCATGAAGGCATGTGTAGCACTAACACCACGGGGGCCACTGGTAATTGCTGGTTTTTCTCTAATAGTACAGAGGCTTCCCACCACCACAAGCATCACTGCATTCACACTGACTCCATTAACACAGTCTATGAAATGCCTTGTTAGTTGTGAATGCTAGAAGAAACTTTAACAGGAGAGGGCTTAAGGTCAATGGGTACTCCAAAATGATCAACAGGAATAATGGGAGGACAAAAGTCTCACTCATCTTCTTACAGCAGCAATTCCTGGAGGTAACAGGGAATGGCCAATATATCTACAGCTCAGAGCAGCACCAATCCATGTAGAAACCTCTGGCACCTATATCCCTTCTAGCACAAGCACACTCAAAGTTCACAACAAGGTCTTTACTGACAGTGTCCATGGAGCTGTCTGCCACCCAGCTTCTACAGGTAGATCCTCAGTGAGGGAGATTAGAAAGATCCTTCTCCAGACCCAGGACTTCAGAATATTGTCCTTCAGCAAATACAGACAGCAATCTCCTGTTTCAGAAACTCTCTCCTAGGGGCAATAGCCCCCCAGGAGACTAGAACTCTCCCCAAGGAGGAAAGACACTTGCCCGGAGCCTCCCAAACATTTATCATGTTATTATTTATTTATTTATTTATTTATTTATCGAGTTTATATAGCGCCAAAGGGTTTGCTCAGCGCTGTACAATAGAGGGGGGACAATACATGAAACAGTACAGTAACATCAAACAGCACACAAGGGGTAAGAGGGCCCTACTCTTTCGAGCTTACAATCTAGGAGGGAGGGGGTGGAGGTGCAGGAGGAAATGGCTGTGGGGGATGGAGTGGTAGGAGGAGGGAAGGGCAGCGGCTGTTAGGTGAGGGTGGGGTAGGCTTCCCTGAAGAGGTGGGTTTTCAGGGAGCGCCTGAAGGTGAGGAGGGAAGGTGACAGTCTGATGGATTGGGGTAGTGAGTTCCAGAGGATGGGGGAGGACCTGGAGAAGTCTTGCAGTCGTGCGTGGGAGGAGGAGACCAGGGAGCAAGATAGAAGGAGGTCCTGTGAAGAGCGAAGGGTACGGGTAGGGTGGTACCTGGGAATCAGGTCGGTGAGGTAGTTAGGGGCCGTGTTGTGAATGGCTTTATAGGTCAGAGTGAGCAGTTTGAATTTAATGCGTTGGGCAATGGGGAGCCAGTGGAGGGAGAGGCAGAGGGGGGTGGCAGAGGTGGAGCGGCTGGTGAGGTGGATGAGTCTGGCAGCTGAGTTCAGGATGGTCTGAAGCGGGGAGAGTTTGCACTGGGGTAGGCCGGTGAGGAGGGAGTTGCAGTAGTCCAGGCGTGAGATAATCAGGGAGTGAACGAGTAGTTTAGTGGTGTCTGGGGTAAGGAAGGAGCGTATCTTGGCGATGTTCCGGAGGTGGAGCCTGCATGTATTTGTGAGGGATTTGACATGAGGTTGAAAGGAAAGGTTTGAGTCCAGAATGACGCCAAGGACCTTGGCTTGCTGGGCGGGATTGATGGTGGTGTTGTTGGTAGTGATGGAAAGGATGGGGGGGGGGGGGCACGGGAAGGGGGAAAGACGAGAAGCTCGGTTTTGGAGAGGTTGAGTTTGAGGAAATGGAGCGACAT